TCTCTCACAAATAACACGGCAGTAAAGCCACACTACAGGCAAGTGTTGGCCTAAAAAGGTGAAGTCCAACTCTGAACATTTGGAACAGCTTCCAGGAGTGAGTAAGACCAAATGCCAGCAGCACAAGAAGGATATCGAGGTTGTCTCTCAGGCAGCTCATCTTTTAGCTCATCAGGAGAAATGCCCTGGTGACATTAAACACAAGCAATATTTGAATAAATGATCTTGCACTTGAAGGTGTATTACAAAGGCTAAAGCAGAACAATGGCATGGTGAAACAGCTCTAAGTCAGACGCACATCTAATGATCTTTCACACAAGTTACTAGAGCAGTTTAGGAAAACTTGTGTGCTCATAGAGTCCTATGACTAAACACGGAATTAATGTTAGCATGAATAATCATATCTATTTTAGGCATAATGAGATTAGAAAAAGTTTGGCTCTAGTGGGATAGGCTGGCAGCTACCATGCTGTTCTAACTCGAGTGCTCATCAGAAGCAAGCAAGCACACACCAAAAAGTATCTGTTAACATCAGCTACATAAATGGTGCTTTTTAACAATTCAGTCCTTCCTCCTTGAGCAAGCAAAAATATAGAGTCCCCTTTCTATTAAAATGCTACATTAACTTCTACATTCTAGGGAATAAGAGCTATGGTTAATGCTCAAATCCCTGGGAAGGACTTTATTTTGCCCTGTGTACCATTAAGGAATGCTACACGCTGGGCTGACCTTATTATGCCATCTCTCAAATTTAGAGTCTGCAGAGGATTAGCAATCCCAGCTTCTAATTAATGGCAGATCAGCTCAGAGTCAAATATGCAGATCTACACAGAAACGTGGCAGAGAACCCTTTAAAAAGCCAGCAGGTGCCAAAGGTGCTTTTTACATAGTCGGATCATAACAGCTTTAAAATAACTTCTTAGGTGCAATTAATTAGTCAACCCAATTGCTTCTGCACAGCTCCACTATTAATAGTGCTGTGCTTTACATGCAGAGTGACCATGCATTTAAATAAGCTCATGACCCAAATTAGATTAAGAGTTTGATAACAATTTGAAACTAAGGCAGTACCTTAGAGACAACAATACATTGCAGGCTGAAGATACTCTTATTTACAATTCATTTAACAAACCTCATGCTCCTCATCCAGCACCACCAACTGCTTATCCTTGTCGATTTTCACTATAAATCAAAACAAAACACAGAAAAATGTTGTTTCAACCCATTTATCCAATGTATCCATGAAGCTTTTCAACATTCCCCCACAAGTATATTCCTTGTGATCTATACTGCTTCTTCAGCTTATCCCATGACCTCATAAAATCACTGAAGAGAAGCGTGCACTCTAAGCGCTCTTCACTGCAACACACTCCTCAAATGGCAGAGGCAGAAATGTCAAACTCCCCTACTAAAAGGCCACCAAACTTACAAAATCAAAATGACTATGCCTTGACATTTTTTACTATCATTTTGCAGTGGTAGACTTGGAGCTGTAATAAGGTATAAATTCTCTACAACGCACAGATCAAGTCCTGTATCATCAGAACAGTGTTGCTTTACTGTTAAAAAATCACAGCAAGTGTGAAGTTCTGAAGTGGAAGTAGTCAAGTTCATTTAAGAAGCAGCCTCCTGGCTCACATTGACTTTCTACAGCAGCAGCATGACAGCGAAAGGAAGAGAGGAGACAGGATTTTCTGCAGTTTTGTTCAGACACATTTTCAACTTACTTATAATGGCAGCATTGTTGGTTTCTTTACGAAACCGGAATTTCCTCAGTTTCTCCACCAGGTCTTCAGCAACATCACAAACCACCAGAGATTCACTCTACAAAAGGGAAATGGCAGAGGGGAGGGAAAGATAAATCTTTCTAGTAAACCAACAGCCAAAAAAATCCCTGTGTCACACATGTATGTGCATAAGCCCTCCTAAGGTGGACCTGCACGCAGCTTGTCCAAAGCTCCAGAACATACAGATAAACCAGGAAAACCATGCATGAAAAAAGCAGGTCCTCAAAAACACAAAACCAGAACACCCCTCCTCAAAGCCACACAGTTAACCAGAAACATGTTATTAGCTGTTCCTGTAGTGGGATTGTTCTCATAGCTCTTAGAATTGTTACAGCTCATTTGCCAAGGCCTGAAATAAGGAAACCCCCTAGAATGGCAGTAAACTGGCTCAAGGAATTCAAGTATTTAAAATAATAGGAGCTACTATTAATATTTCACAAGAACACAGACAGTAATTAAGGGTCACCGCTTATTTTTAACTGAACTTTTGAGATTTACCCACATGGAAAGCATTTAACACACTTTAAATCAGAAAGAACACAGACTTTCCCCCATGGGCTTACATTTTACTAACTCCAAGTGCTCAGAAGAAATGTCCAGATAACATATTAGTCATCACCCTGAAGATGAGGAAGGAAACCATTCTTTCACAAGCAACCATGTAGGTTATCTTTCATTACACACAATTTTAAAACTGTACCAAACCAACCACTGCCATTTCCTGAGCAACATTTTATACACACAGTCTCTATTGCCACAGCCAAGACATGCAAGCCAGCTAGACAGTTATTTACCACCTCCATCTTACTCATATTATAGTTCTGTAAAGTCCTAAAGCACCAAGGCTTTCATACCAAAACAACTGCAATTCAAGACTTCTTTTAAAAAAACGGCTCAAATAGAACAGTTGCAAGATTACCTATCACAGCTCTATTAAAGAGTTATTTCACCAGGACTGCTTGCAAATCAGAAGAAAGTACTATTTAAACTCTGTCTCCTCACATTCAATGCTGGCTTGTTTGAGATTCTCCTCCAAAAGCAGAGTGGTGCCTCTCACTTCCAAAATCACCTGGCAAATACTCTATGTTTGCTGTTACTCCTAAGAGGCTTCCACCTTGACCAAATTCTGGCACAAAATCTTGTGCCTCTGCTTCCTTTCCACAGCTGGAGAGGAAACCAGGCTCTGCTGTCACAGGATGGGTCAGGCACTGCATGTGCAGCCTTTTCTTGTTTGTCCTAAATCTCAGATTGCTTTTGGCTCCCTCTGACCCACAAATATCATTAATACCCACTCTCACTACTTCAGGAGGTGTCTGTCTAACAAAAAAAAAACAAACAGCCACAAACCCAAGGGAATTCAGGGCCACAATTTAAAGCTGAAGTTACACTCTTTATCAGACCCTGTTTTCATTTCCCTGCCACCCTCCAGCAGGCGCCTGCAGGGTCAGAGCGCTCTTGTGCAGCCACACAGATATAAATCCTTAAGGAGCTGAAGGCTGCGCTTGCAAAAGACAGGGTGACGGGTTCAGCTCATCAGGGCTAAGCTCGGTTTAAGGAGAAGCCACCGAAGCAGCGCGAAGGGCTGGGCACGCCCAGTTCCCCTCACCTACCATCCCCTCCCTTCGACTGCCAGACGTTTTCAGAAGCCAACAGAGCCCGGCCAGCTGCTGATGTTTTACCGGTGAGGGCGGCGGGGCCTCCCGGGGCTGGGTCAAACCAGCACCCGCCTGGCCCTGAGGAGAACGGTTCCCGCTCTCACCCCTCCCAGGGCACCTGCTCTCCCCTCAGACCCTCCCCTCAACCCCAGCCTCGCCCCCGGCTCAGCGGGGCACCCCAGGGACCCCCCGGAGGAGCAGGGACCCCCCCGGAGGAGCAGGGACCCCCCGGGCCGAGTTCCC